TGTGGTGGTGGTGGCTCCAATTGTCACTGTCACTCAGCAGAAGCCCATCACCTAGTAGAGGCAACCATGGCTAGTGGGCAAGAGCAAAACCTTCTTCTGGACCCCAAGGTTGTCCCCAGTCCCCTTCACCCATAGTTATTCACCCAGCTAGGGCTTCAGGAAACTGTAGAAGACCACATCCTTGGGTGCAATGGCAGCTGACATGAATGAGTGTCATCAGGTGCCATGGAGAGGGGTAAGGGAGGAACTCTGGGTGGGTGTGTGGGCTCCCAGCCAAGGGTCTGCACCCCCCTCCAAGCCCAGCACAGCAGGAATGGGGCCAAGGGTAGAGGAAGCAGGGAGGAGGCAAGGGGGGATGAGAACAGGCTGAAGAGGTAAAAGTAGAGCAAAGGCAGAGCTCACAAAGACATCCCAACATGCTAGACACACCCTAACATAGCACAACACATCTCAACATGCCTGGACTTGTCTCCTCCATATCCAGCATTTCTGAAACACAGAGCACAGCCCAATACCCTACAAAGTGCATTACATTTACTGAGGGCACCCTAGCATGGCTCAGCCTCCTCTGACATCTCCTGACATGGACCTGAAACAGGTAACCTGAGACCAACATGTAACAACATGGTGACAACATACATGGCACACCCTGCCATGTCCATAACATGAAATAACATGCTCTGACATAGAGCTGAGACCACTGACATGGCCCAAACGTGTGCTAACATGTCCTGCCATGCTCCACAACATACCAGACACAGCCTAACATGTACATAACACGACACAACATGCTCTGATATGGACCAGAGCCGTCTGACATGACCTCAGAATGCCCCCCACACAAGCCCCAGGCAGGACTTAAATATGGACTCGTTAGCCCCAGATGTGGCCTAGGAGTGACCCAGACATGGCCCAGGTGTGAATGGACATACCTTGGACCTGCCTTACACAAGATTAAAATAACCTCCCAGACACTTCACAGAGTCCCAGACACAGCCTAGCCCTGACATAGGACAAGTCCAAACATGGTGCCCACATGACCAACAGGACACCTGGACAATCTCAACTGACATCTTAGACAGACCTCTTCAGGCCCTGATGTCCTGGGCTACAGCTGAGCCCAGATGTGTTCCAGACCATCCCCAAATGGTCCCAGGTGCAAACATTCACCTGACATGGCCACACAGCAGGCATCACACAGACACGCCCTAGAAGTGACCAGACATAACCAGGGTCAGACAGTTGGGCCCAGGTAAGTCAAGGGCAGTGGCCCCTCCCCACAGCTCTCCTGTCCTCCCACCTGCTCACTCACCAGCTAAAAGGAAGCACAGGGCTGGGTGGCAGCAGGCTGTGGGCAGCAGATGTCTACCTGGGGCCAAGAGGACAGGTTTGATGAAGGTGGGGTGTAAGACGCGGATGATGGCATGCAAGGGCCCCACCCACCAGTAGCACACATCCCCGAAAGTGCTGGCCAGGCCCTGTGTGTACTGGAGACCCTCCTCCGAGTTCTGGATCTGGGGAAGAACTAAGAGGACCAAGTTCACCCCCTTGTAGGTACCAGAGAGAAGAGCTGAGGGCAGAGATCCACCCAAGACCCAAGATCCCTGTCCAGCTATTTGTCCCCTCTATACCAAGCCCAGTCCTGACCCCAAGCCTGACACATGGCCATTCAGGGTCCTTCAGTCACAGGGGTACAAACAGCCTGTCCTCTTTAGATATCCAAAACCACCTTCACCTTGGTGCTCTTCTTACCCCCATTTTCCAGATAAGGAAACTAAGCCTCTGAACAATGACTTCATTTGCCCAGGGTCCCCCAGAAAGCAAGTGACTGCCTAATACCTGAGCCCAGGTCTGTCTGAATCCAGAGCCTGAGTTCTTAGGCACTGAGTTGCTTGTGTCCCCAAAACAACAGCTCTGAGAGCCCCCTACCCACCAAGATTGGGCAAGCAGAGTTCCAGCAATTGTCTTGGGAGTTGGTGGGAATTAATGGGCACTCTGCGGGGGGGGGAAGGCGTGCTTTCCCATTGGAATGGAGCTTCTTGGATCATCATTTACAATGTGAGGAAAAAGCTTCCTTGAAAATAAAGTTGACAAGGAAAGTAGAACCAAGAAATGAAGGCAGATTCCTGATAGCATTGTTTGAGGCCTTGAAGGCCACCGTCCCTAGACTTTTCAGTCAATAGATTCCATTTATTTGTTTAGGCCACATGTGGTTGAGTTTCCGTCACTCACAACTGAAAGGGATCTCAGCAACTGAAGATTCAGTCACCTGCCCAGTGTCGCTGAACAGGATAGTGACATAGTCGAGACCTCTGTTGGACACTGTCCATTCTCCTGTCCAGGATGCAAAAGGCAGAGGGCAATGGAAGGGAGTAGAGATGAGGCAGGGTCTTGTAGGAGAGACATCCGGGGTCTGGAGAAGGTGAGTAAAGAACCTAGGGTGGAAAAGACACAGGATGGGGTAGAAAGGACACACCCACCAGAGATGGACGTCATGGAAGTAGTGGCCCAGAGCCCTCCTCATAGTGCTGCACTGGGGGTGGGGGTGGTAGGTGGAGGCCAGGCCTGGCAGGAGGCTCAGGAGCCACCACTGCCCACTCCATGCTGCCCCAGCTTAAAAACCTACACATCATTC